CAACAGCCACCTGATCAATTACCAACGAACCTATGTAAACGGAGTAGTGGAAATGCTACAATTTTATTCGCGCTGACCAGTAAGAAAGTATAACACCTTAGGAGACAAACCATTAACTGCGTTTGTGTCCTGGCCTATTCAGCTTCGCTGTCGTCGGTTATGTCGCCTGCACACTGATCCTACTAGCAGACAATCGTTGTCAAGCTCGTAATATCAAAACGTATTGAGTAGAGTGCGTCCCCACTCCTTTCTCAACTATTTGTTTCGAGTGCTATTTCCAGTCAACTGATTTCGAAAAAGACTCTTTGGTTGAACAAAGTATAGCTATTTTACGACAGCATTCTTATGTAAGCTGAAACTAACATATATACATTTATATATATATATACATGTATATATATGTACATATATATTCTGATGGGTTATATATATATATATACATATATATATATGTACATATATATTCTGATGGGTTACATCTGGTGTCCTTTCATACAGCTTGACAGGCTGACACCGGAAGTACCTGGATAGAGCGACTTCCGTAAGACTATCCAAGTAGATTTTTACTGTTTGAGCTGCATTATATTTGGTGAACCGTTCACTGTCTTCATTCCCTAACATTTGATGAGTTCACGAACAGTTCAGAGCAAACCTTGCACTTGTTTTCTTGTTACCCTTCTTTCGAAAAACTGTCTAGTTTCAAAAATTTATCTAGACAAAAGCCATTGTAATGCATGTTTTGAGCAGACTAATAGAAGGAGTTAGACTTCAAAGTTTCCCCAAAGAAACGAGTAACCGGGTGGAGGTTCTCCGTAATCCGCGATAAGTCGACTACCAGAAAAATTGACACCTTTGGAGATCAACTGAATCAGAGGTCCTTTCATTGTAAAGGAATTCCTAGTTGGGTGAGTGTAAACCCGGTGCTGTTGCGTAACCCAAAACCTCAATGAAGCTTTCCACAGATTTTGTGTCTTAGACTTAATGCACTTCGGTGACTGTGACGACATAAATGTCTTTAGTATTTCCACTGAAGTAAAGACGAAAATGATAGAAGAAAGCTGCGCAACACTCTGATACGCGTCATATAATCCACCTTCAATAAATTGTGTTCAAGCACCAGGGCTTCTTCTGGGTGTCAAAGGAAATGAACATCCTCGTAGTACAAGTCGTTTCTGCTCGGTGCCACATGATCTTTCTGTTACGTCACTCAAGTAGCTGACAACTCATTATATGAACGTAATACATGACACAAACGGTTACCGAAAACTTCGACAGTCCATCAGCGGTTTTGCCCTTCGTGGGGCTCATCAAGTAGGTATTGTCCCGATTTTCGTCAACAGATTTACTTCTGTCGAAAAGTCACTTCCATATCCATCCAAACCTGTTTCTCCCGTATGTTCCAATGATGAGAAACGATTGGACAACTTCCCGGAACTACTTAACTAGAATAAATGTTTTTCCTACTATTTTATTCTACGCTCACCATCAGTTTTGCTATTCTTGGGGCTCACCAGATAGACGCAGTCACTAATTATGCATTCTTAGCGCTAGATTTTTCGTTGGATGTAATGAACAAATCTTGTGAGGCTAGTGGTGAAAACGTTACTTATCAAATATCTTCCAATTGGTGCACAGTTAAATAAGCTGGATAGCTCGTTCAGTCGAACGAAATATAAAGCCTGGAATAGTCACACGGGTAAACATTTTTAAAAATGACTCTATCAGCCAGAATAGTTAGGGTGCCTACTTTTTTGAGGCAAGTACTGCGCTGATTCAAGCGAGAATTGAGCTTGTTTATGGTACACACGCGGAATGAACAAATGGATCATCTGATTACCACAGATCCTGACAGGTATGTGTGTACTCGGTAGGTTAATGGAAAACGGCTTAATGCGTACCGGAATCCTCTTCGTGCTTTCAATTCAAGAGTCATTTCAAAAATATACGTCCATTTCCGTTTGCAGTTTTGATAATCCAACGCCTACTCTGTCAGTTTTTCAATTTTTTCGCGTTATCCAAGGCTTATTTTCCTTTTTATTACTCTTGCATCACGCAACATAACTAAAATTCTTGCCTATTGAAGTACTTATGTTCCAAGTCCATTTTTAACCAGAAGTGCTAGCCGACCGGCAAAGGCCCTCACGTTCAAAGTCCTCTCATTATTTGAGTGTAATGTTTCGTAATAGTTCTTTTCCGATCCTCTTTTATGCTCTTGTAAAGCTGATTACCAACGTTATGGACACTGATCATTCAATTTGGTGCGGATATGAGTGGAAATTTAAGTAATACTGAAGCAAACTAGAAGACCAAAACTTTTGGTGAACATGACCGTCGGTTGTGGAATTGAACCCGAGCCACCAATACAAAAATATTAGCTATTTCTATGGAAATTTGAGGCCCGAAACAATACCACAAAGCATTGTGCAAACAAAGCCAGTGGCCTGTTGACTCTCACACTTCCGGATCTGATTCTGAAGTTGCAGTCACAAACAGAAACCAAAATATCACTAAAAACTAACTTTAAAAACAAAGTCCAGGCACCAGTTGCTTGCCATGCAGGATCCTTTCAGTAGTAGCCTCGGTGTACCTTC